ACGAGAGAGGCCTTTTCAATAGTGTTACCATATTTCTAAAAAACAAGCTCGCGTAATTTATGGAAGAAGCATCGCGGTTATGTGTGTGTCTGTCTTTGGACAGCCTGGTCAATTAGTTTAACACGTTTCGGACCGATGCTGCACATGGTGCAGCACGCGGCTCTGAAGGATATTTTCAGCGTTTACAAGAGCTTTTCTTTTTGTCCAAGGTTATCAAGTCAAAGGCCTAAGCTCCTCCTTTTCAAAGGGGTCTACAGAGCTGTGCCACCGATATTTGTTTAGAAGATATAAGGAAAAATCGAACATCAGTTGCAACGAAGTGCGGCGACGCGAACGACGCATGCGACGTCGCAACTTTTCTTTGCTTCGGTTTCAAGGAGAAAAACCGTAGTTTCAATACTGATGTGTAGCTTGTACAACATAGGTACTTTCGAATACTATAAGAGACTGAGTTGTTGTTCCTACAGGGTGTTTGAAAAGTTCGTGGCCTAAAGCACTTCCAATTCGAATTTTGACGCGTTTTTTGCTATATTTGTTCTCCAAACCTTGAGACCACTGAATCAACAAAGAAAAATATTTTTTGCCTCAAAATACCCTAAAAAATTTGGAAGTAAACAATTTTTTCAGCTTCCTTGGAGAGTGCGTCATCTGTTTTGTTCTTTTTTCCAACGCCGGAAAAGGCAAACAGCTTTTGGTTTTTTTACTACAAATAGTCCTAGATTTACACTTTCTTTATATAACAAAAGTTCTACATTAGCATGCTAACAAAGATTTTTTATGCGCTGAATCACAGCAGACAGGCGCGGCACCATGTTTGCGCTGAAATTTTTTCAGTTTCAAAAAATTTAGAAGTCTTATTTTGACATGTATTTGTAGCACAACTCTCTGGCCTTCGTTGTATTCGTTTTCGAGAAATTTGCACGCTTGCAAAGGTTTTTAAGGTAAGATATAAAAATTTCGGTGCTGGACTTTTTTGACAAAAAGATCCTGAAAGTGGATCTCTTGGCTTTCGCGGTACGATATTTTTCAAACAAACTTACTTCTACGAAAGTGAGAGTACACTTAAGAAACCTTGAAGAAAGGGCTTTAAGAAGGTTTACTAAGTTTTCTGAAAATTATGTTTCCTTTTTTGTAACAAGCGTTTTGAGGGAAGGGGTTTGGAAAGCTATTCTGATGTGTTTCAATCTAATAAAAAATCAAAGAAACCACAAAAAATCTAATTTTTACAGAAGTGATGGTATTTAGGTCCGATGAGCACAATAAAACAAAAAACGCATCAAAATTCGAATTAGAAGTACTTTAGGCCACGAACTTTTCAAACACCCTGTATCTTTAGAGAAAGCACAAAAGTCTCTTTCAAACGACAAAATTCAAACACTTTGAATTCACTCAGAACTTTGGGTATGGAGCTTGTTTGACATGCTGATTACAAATGTAGCCACAATCTGTGAAATAAGGTCCGTTTGTTGGCTAACGGCTGAAGTTACACTCTTTTTCGTCGCGCGCGATTTCGCGGTCCGAAACGTGTAAAGGAATTTTTTAGCTTGTTTGATTCCTTTTCTGGAGGCAAGTGGACATCAATGCTTGAACTTTTTTTAAAGATTTCTGTTGTAATCCTACAATAACGAAGAAAGGATGTTTTCTACATAGTGTAAATCAGAGTTGAAGCCTGCCTAATACAATGTATAGATTTGCAAAAGACATTGGAGCAAGTTATCAATGATCAAACACCGTGCACCTTTTTCTGGAAATTACAAAGTTTGTAAGGTTGTCGGATATGTCCTTTTAAAGACAACCGCAACTGAGCTGAAACTTTGCACAACACATGTTTTCAACCTCCATGGTATTCTGAAGCTACTTTTTGGCAATTTTTTAGGTCCGCCTATCAGGGGGAGAACTGAGCGGCTAGGAGACACAGCTATAGGTGACATTGTTTTGTTCCCCTTAATCCACAATCGCATTCCAATCCGGAGCCGGGCATCGCCTATATTAGCCATCCTCAGTCTAAGCCCTCCACATAGGAAAATCACCAGCACACTCAACTGCTATTTTCCGATAAACTCTGATGGGTCAAAAAATGGAGGCCTTTGCACCTACCCCAAACACATAGTCTGAACCCAGCGCCTAACCCGGAAAAGTGGTAACTGCTTGCAAGATCTTTCCCTTATGGAAGCTTTTTGCATACCTAGCAAGAGTAAACACAAATTAGGGTTCGACACGTGTCAGTTCTAGCTCAGAAAGTTCCCCTTCGTCGTTGATATTCTTATCCCGGTTACGTAGCGACGTACTCAGAAAATAATGGCGTTTTGGAAGAATGCAAGATATGCAGATGACTTTCTAGCTTATTACCATGTCGATCTAAATATATGAGATTTGCAACCTTATTGACAAGCATGATGCATTTATGAATAAAGAATGGTAGAGAAGAAAAAGAACAAAAAGACCAAAGTTGAAACCGCAAATAAGAACTACAATGTAAGTAATGTAACGTGCATTTGCAGTGGATGCAGTTGGAGCGCGATATCTGAGCACGTTTTTTTATAGGAGGCGACCACGGAATCGTGTTCACGCTCAAGGGTAGACTTTTAACCGGGAAAATTCACGGCAGAAAAGCCAAAACCTAACCCACCAACAGATTTGCTCCAGATTGACTCAATAGATGGGGTGTCCTGGAGGAGGACTGATTTAAGAACACCTATTACTTCACATAAATTACAAAACTGCGCGTAATACTTACGATACCCCCTTTGCTTTTTGCCTTCAAAACGAAATCCAGTGTGCTTCTTTAAGACTGCAGTGATCCTAGTACAGAACTAGCAAGGGCAATCTCGAAATAGAAGGTGTTTTGATAGCAGCGTCTTCTGCATCAACAACTTATTGTCCGGCTTCTCTCCTTGGAGCTCAGTAGTTCGCAAACGCATCAGAGAGCATAATTCTCTCTCAATTCCTCATGTCCGCCGATGCAACAAAAGATCATTGAGGCAGCCCGTGCACTATCTATCCTTGCAACTTGTCATTCGAATTGGTACGGTAATGTATAGCAATATGAAGATGCGATCTTATTTGTCATCGCTTTGCTAAGACTCGCACTTTGTTAAAGTTGCAGTCATGATGACACAGACATGAAATGAAAAATAAGAAAATAAATTGCGATTAGCTTGAAACCTGTTGAGAAAAATGTAGAGGCTTCACAAAAATATTCTTCCGCTTGCCCATTTCGAGTGGTTGCATAGTTAGTCACAGCTCTTTGCTTAACATTAACGAGCGCAACGTATCTGCGGCACCGTTGTCGATCTCACGAAGCAGAGCGTTGATAATGATATAGCCTGCTGGCTTACTCAACAACCGCAGAGTCTTTTTGCGTGAGCTCAGATCAAAATCAAATGGTTAACATCGGGCATGAATTTATGATGTCAAGCATCTAAGGTCACGTACGCTACTATACGTCATTTTTGTTATTGGGGACATACTTGTGTATCACATGCAAGCCCCTGCATACAAATATCGCACACAAATTTTTTTGGATAAGTACATGCAAAACAGCACTAACCGCATCTCTCGCACACCTGCTAGAAAAGAATCAATTGCGGAATATATTTTATTGAAGCCAGTACGATATGCAATATGGAAATTGGCTTGTAGAAGGCGGGTTCCGTTATAGATATCAGTCTCTTCAGCGCGGGGAGGAGGCGTGACACGGGCGTCGAACTTCATTTGTAGCCAAGTGTATTCGCAGGGTCCTCCGAACTGTGGATTCCGACTCAGCCCTCAACTTTGCTAGGTGCCTAGCGAGAGGACCAGGGCGATGCACGTCTTCTGGCTGTAGGTAAAAATCGTTGACGTCCCACTCCGCAGTCATTTTTGCCTCAGTGTCAATAGTTCCGTCCTTCTGCAGTGGCTTAGATCACTACCTCCTTTTAGAGGAGTGCTGTGTTGTCGCAAAAGAGAAAGAGGTCGTTTATGACGGTGGCAGGCTAGAGTCATGACGTCACATCACGTCATGGCTAACTGAATGAGGTCACGTCACATCACGTCATCACTAACTGAATGAGCAGGTTACATTCGTGCTCTAAACAATTTGTAAATGTAAGTGGTGGCCACCAACGCTTGTAAGAACAACTCGGAACGAATCCTACACCAAAGGGATTACTGGAAAGAAGAAATGCAATTTATCTTAAGCTGCTGATAGTGCAAAGCTACTTTCTAGGATTCTCCTGCAAAGCTTTTCTGCAATGTCAGTTGCAGAAAAGCTTTGCAGGAGAATCTTAGGAAGTGCAGGCAAGCGAATAGGCTTGAAGCAGCTATGGGAAGGCCAGTATTTGAGAGGTGCCAAAAAGACTTCTGTAAAAATTACGTGCTGGCAGCATTGTTGAAAGAATAGGGGCCCCAACTTCTTCCAAACACAAAATATAATTTATCGCGAAAAACTTTTTATACCATCCTCTTTCGCTCATCAGTGACCGTGTTGAGCCCCTGTTCCCACTGGAATTGTACCTCCACAAATTCTACTGGCTAAATGTGCTGCGATCCAATCTAAAGAGAAGATTGCAGGACCAGAACACCCACTTGTCTAGCTTCTGCAGGCCGGAAGACACTGTTTACAAAAAATTTGCATTTGATTGTTGAATACGAATGTGAGAAGAATGTCTCGTTTTTGTGATCCAGCGAGATAGATTGCGAAAGTGAAAGCCCGATAGGCGTCTACAGAGCAGAGGACAGATGGAGATCAAGGGCTTTGTAATGATTTTCGAAAAGTGTTTTGGAAAAACCAGCTAAGAAATTGGCCGGTTATGAACCCGGAACTCGCGGACAAAGCCGCCGCTGAAACCTAAAAGATCGATCACGCCAGAAGCAAGGGATAACAAGTTGCGTGTACTGGGATCTGCAGCAACATGAAGGCAGACAGTACAAATACGTATTGTAGCCGAGGTGAATTTCAAGCGACAGGCACATTTCCTGCTTTACTGAAGCTCATGCTACATCGGAAAACGAAAGCTTACTCGGTGAAGAATGAGAAGGAGAGCGAGTGTCTGAAAAGTGTTACGAAGATGCTAGGTGAGGAGTTGTTACGGTCCAGGCTGCACTCACTCTTCCTCGGTATTTGCTGATTGTTCATCACCAGTCAGCTGCTCAGAAATTTCAAAAGTAAAGCAACCTCATGAAAAGTACACATATATGTAGTATGCACTATTCCATTAAAATCATTCCTACGGTTCAAAGCTGCATCCGGTTGGAACGATTTCATACAAAACTTAGCAAGCAATATAAAGTCTGCGTCGATCACATACTCCAATTTCAACCACACGATCGCACCCTGAACTTCGCTCCAGATTCGCGAGCGTATGACTTTGGCATTCAGATTTACCTCATCGGAGTTTCCCAAGCAAGACCATCGCGTTAGAGACCTTCAATTTGAGAATGAGTATGCAACTGACACAGACTCTGTAGAGACAAGACCTTTTCTCAGCTGACGAGATATCTTGAAGTGCTTACACGAGGTAATATTCAGATTTGTTCAGTTTTTGAGCTGTAACTTCCGTGGTATGCTCCTGAAATTCTGACGACCAACTGATTAAAGGCAGTGGCTCGGCAACTCCTCGAGGTAAAGTTTTTTCGCCTACCTGGCGTAATTTGACGCGCTGATTTTAAAAATACACTTTGAAGAGCACGAAAATGTCGAAAATCAGCATTTTCCAGGGGCTCCCCTTTTGAGTTTGGACGAGTAGACGACTTTCCGCCATGGTTAGAGACGTAGATTCGTTGCGGGACCCTTATGTTTGAAGCATTGCGGCATACCGCCTCTGACGGTTGGAGAGGGACCCGGACCGAGCGCGTGTAAGGATGGCTTGCGCGCACGGCTTTAGAGGCATTTTTTAGGCAGGGGCAACATGTAATGCACTTTGACTTGCTCTGTTTTGATGTTTGGGATGCAAGCAATCCTCCATATCAGAACTTCGAGATGTTCGGTTTTGCGCCACTGCCTTAACCTATTGAAACCAAGTGACTCAACTATTGTCGCGACCTTTAGAAATCTAGTCTGTGGTGGACGGCTCTATAATGGCGGAACCGGATAGCTGCGAAGAGCACGAGCTCTACGATTGCAAAAGGTAAGATGCTGGTGCTCTACAGAGCGTGTAGCCGCGGACTGCTTGGCAATGGCGGTAGTGTGGCTAAGGACTCGACGATAAGTGGTCAATCATGGTCAGGTATGACCCGCCGCCTCAACGTGGCATAGGCGTACCACTTGCTGTCGAATCGCCATGCCAGCCAAATGTTTAATCTGGTATGGGCTCCCAGCTGCGAAGAAATTCGATATTTACGGCTTTGCACAAATGCCATGCCTGATGAAAGCAGGCCGACCAGATCCTCCGCGTGCGTAATCGCTGGCGGTTCCTACTTCAAAACCATTGCCAAGCAGTCGCCCTGTGAAAGGCGGGAGAACATTTCGTTAATCCGCTCTTTCCAGGGAAAAGTTCCATCTCCCGTTCAACAAATAGTTAGAAGAAAACTCTGCGCATTGAAATCCACGTAGGGCGCGGGCTGGTAGCAAGACCGATGTTATCTTGCGGCTAAATCGGGCAAAAGCAGAAGATTATCAGCAACTGCTATTCTAACATCTGCAGCTGACAAACAGAACTGACTGCTTTCTACAAACATGGAGGAAATGAATTCCTTCTGCAAATTTGTTGAGGGCGACTTCAATGCGAAAATCGTGGTGCCTCTAAAAGAGGAGCATCTGGAAACACAGTCATATGCACCTTTTTGTACGGTCTACTGCTCACAGGATAAAAAGTCTAGCGAGTTAATATACAAGCTTATCGAGATCATTATGTTTTATTTCTAGGCTTGATATAGGAAGTGGAGCCACAGTTATAGTAACTTCTCGTCTTTATCAAAAATTAACTTCAAGTTGAAATAAGTTACAAGAAATACTGAACTCGTTCTGGATCTTTCTAATATAACTTGGCAAGAAATCTAGATAGAAAAGGCAATCCTCCAAGCTAAATTCAAGAAAGTATAGATAAGAAATAGGAAGCTATCAGCACATCTCGCTATCTTCGCTACATCTAAATAAAAGTAGGAATCTTCTAAGTCCAATTCATGGAAGTACAGAAAACAAATAGGAAAGCTTACAGCGCATTTTTGATATCTTTGCTACATCCACTTACCCTCTACTTCAGATTTATAGTCATACTAATACATCAGAATAAGAACATTAGAGTTGTACTTGACGAAAACAAAGATTGTTTCTGCTAAAATCATATAAATCGCGTCAATTAGACTATTTGAAGCAATTTGTGCATTTACGTAGCATTTGTTGCAACACGCACCGGCCGGCGACCGTCCGACGACGGCCTTTCGGCCGGCGGCCGCTCCGTAAATCTGGGCGGAGCTAAATGCCGGCCGGTGGCCGCTCCAAAAAAATCATACCGGCTGGTGGCCGCTCGAACGGCCGTCAGCCGGTAACATTGCCATGTCGCGGGAAGTGAGCGGGATTTGAAAATTGCATGATTGAGCTGCGTAAGCAACGCTCTACTTCTCCTCTTTCATAATTGAGTGCCATTTTTCCACTTGTTTTTCCAGTTTCCACTTGTTTTTCCAGTTTCCACTTGTTTTTCCAATTGTTTACGTAAATCATCGTTAGAAGAAAGATTTGTATGCTTATCACTCAAAAATGTTTAGAATTCCGCAGTGATGTTATTCTATTTGCTAACATGCTAACACCGCTCTCTTCAGCGTACTATTGCTTGCACTCGCTGTTTATCATCCTTACCCATGATGGAGCATATGACCTTTCGACTAACTCTCCATGTATCTCAGCACTATGCATTCATGGATTACGGGTGTACTACATATACACATTTCTACGGGAGCTGGAATCTATGTAGTTCGTGTTCTACTGTAAGACTGCTGACCTTGCGCCTAACTCCTAGTATAGACTCCACTAGACAGGTGCGTTCTTATTAAAAATTTGACTGGAACTAGTCCCTGTAGTTTCAGGAAGGACAACATTCAGTACATGTCTGCTACAATTGCTTGAGCTTTGCTTGAGCTTTCTGTATATCTACTAATGTTGAATAAATCTCATGTTCTACGGATTCCCGGTATTCCTGTGCCTATCTTTGTGTACACTGCAAAAGGTAAGTGGGTTTACACCAATCATTTGACAGAAACTAAATCTTGATTAGTGGTTTAGGGGAAACATCCACTGAACGCCTTCTGGAATAGATCTTTGGGTTGCTCCGCTCACTGACATAGCAATTACTGAGCAGGTAAGTCTTGCTATCAATGATCTTTTGTCAAAAGCTTATCTTGTTTGCAGATGTCCGCTGTGTGGCATTCACCCTAAGAATACGAGAGTGCAGCAACCAGTCAACTCGGAATGGGCAGCGAGCGGTCCGATGTGCTATCTTCTGTGTCTATTGGATGTTCTCATGTACAAAAGACGCCATCTTTTCGTAGACATAAGAAACGTTTGAATTTTATAGCTTCATTAGATATTGTGTTAGGCTTTACGTATTAGTCTCATTTGTAATCAATTCCTCACTATGTATGCTTATGAAATAAATGGATATGTTTTTGCGGTTCTGTACTATGTTTCGTGATTGGGGGGGGGGGGGGCAAAGCGAAGAAGAATGGCGCCCCACAACCATTTTTTGCGCGATTGATACATACCGGCCGGTGGTCGTAGACTACGCGGCTGAGTGAAATGACCTGTGGTGCCGCCAGCCGGTCTTTGTGCGGCCGCCGGCCGGTGCGAATGTCTGAGCGCTAACAAGGATGTACCAAAACTTCACAAACTAAGCCAAATATATTGCACCTTTCTTTGCTTTATGTAGACATAGCATTGATGGCTCTCTCTCTCTCTCTCTCTCTCTCTCTTATGTTCACCATCTTTACCATCTTATAGGTTTAAATTAGTTTGTGATAAGTCTACAGGAGTCTCGCTGAAACTAGTATGGACTTCTACAAAGTTTCCTTTCTGTATCATGGTTGAAAAATGCTCTACAAGTTTGTTTTACATGACGTCAAACGTCATTATGCGTTTGTTTCGTTTGAAAGAATCATGAATAGCGAAATTGCTACATTTCTTAAAAAGTGAAGTAAATCAATGACATTGTGCAATTGCGAAATATAGACACATGCGATTTGACGAACTGAGACTCGCTAAACTATTGGGCCTAAATTTGAAACGTAAGTAAACGACATTGTGTGATTACGTAATAGTGACACATGCAATTTTACGGCGTGAGATTCACGAAACAGTTGGCCTAAATTTGGGCATCTTTTTGGAATTTGGTAATTTGGAGCAAGCACAGCTCAATGCTCACATTGTTTGTACTCTTATATATGTCATTTACGTACTCATACTTTGCAACTAAGCATGACAGAGTGAATCCATATTACTAAATGGATGTTTTTGAAAGACACGTCATGATTTCGCAATCTCTTTGTGATATCCATAGGGATGTAGATAACTCGAATCACTGATTGCCTCAGGAGTGTCTAGCGCTAGTGTCTAATATATTGAAACTTTCTTACATTGTCTTGATGACCTTTGTTGACATTTAACTATTAGAGCACACATACATGTAGACACATGCAGTTTTACGACAGTTTTATCGCCTAGGCTTTCAATAAGTTAATGGGATAGGTCCCTTTTCTAGTAAGTTTCGTATTTTCTTTTACTATGTTCGCTGGTGCTTAGACAAACCCTTCCAACAAGTTGTGTGCCTGTAATCAGATGAAATGAATATAATCATGTGGAATCTAATTGGTGAATGTTTTGCTAACTAAGTCCAAACTTCACAGTTCTTCTGCTTTTTAGATGAAAACCATTCCACAAGCTGAAAGTGTCCACTGGTATAAACTACTATACCAGCTACTTCGTTAAAATATAGCTGATGATTTTATAGATGTCCTGCTAATTTGTGCAGTCACACATATAGACACATCGAACCTTACGACTAATAAGTAACCTAAGCTTTTTGAAAGTTTTTGTTCACTAGCTCCTACTTTGGATAGTTTTGTCTTCCTACTAGAACAAACTGGTGCTAGGTCAATTCTTCAGTATATGTTCTATACATCATGAGTATTGATGTTGAAGTTCGTACTTCCAAAAGTAATAACACAAATAGGTACAGAGCAGAACATGGAATCAAGTGGGCAAGTTTATAGACCTAGCTAAGTAGCATAGATACTCTACACGGAAACGCATTCTTTAGTACGGATGTGTTTACTTCATGTCTATTACTATCTCTGCCATTCAAATGTATTCTCTATAATAGGCTAAAGGTAAACATGACTTTGAAGCTAGCCAATGCTTACCGTAGAAATATTTGAACTGTGCTCAGATTGACAGTACCTACGTTGTTTCATGATGACAATTTGACTTGGTTGCAGGATTTAGGAAAAGTACTAAAGAATAGCACACTGAATGAAGTCAAACAAAGTTTGGACAAAAAGAAAAAGGAGGATAGTGAATAACTAAATGGTGGGTTCGCAAGTACTTTGATAGAATATTTTCATATCATTAGCACTAATTTATGGTTACCTACGGTTATTCATTTTTCTCTTAAACTTTCATACATTTCCTGTAGATAGTAACTTTCTGTCTCAATTCAATTCTTATTGACTCTGGCTAACTCAAGTACATAGCTATTCTAACAAATAATTGTGTATTATAGTTTTACGGCAATGCAATATTTTGAAGCTATAGTTGATTGTATAAGGCTACTTTCACTTAATTTCAAATCCAACTAATAAATTCTTTCATCGCCATTCTAAGTGGTACCAGAGTTTTTAGAGCACATACCTCTAGCAATTTTTTGATTGTAGGCAACGATTTTACGTTGAAAATCCGCGCTCATCAAGTAATCGTGGTGACGCTGAGGTACAAAAGATTGAAAAGTCAGAAGATACTCTTGTTGTTTTCACTTGAAGATTTGAACTTACTGCCATATTACAAGAACCATTCTTGTTCACGTATAAAATATCCGCGGCTATGAGATCCCTTTCCGAATCGAAAAGAGGCTTCGAGTATCCGATCTTTTCGAATAAAAGTTGCAAAGATTGACTCTTAGACTGCCCAAATGGTAGTGGTAAATTAATTACCTATAAACTGTCTCATATAAGCAGTACATTAACATAGTTAGCTTAACTTACCAATAACCAACTGGTACGGCACATTCTGCGTACCAGTTCAAGTTCCTTGACGGTGGCATCCTGCTGGATCCTTAGTTGATTGACTGCTGAGCCCAGAGATACTAAAGCAGTACTCAACTCAGCGCTGAGCTGGTGGTCGCCGTCCAAAATAGAACGCATAGTAGCAGCTAGGTCGGTAGAAGAAGACATGATGATCTAGTTACTTGAGGTTAGGCTCTTTTTATACTGCTGGGACCAGCATGTAAGGCACTGTGGCGCGCTGAAAGTCAACCATGGGCGGGAGGGATCCTGAGTTTCCGCCATGACCAATGGAAGATCATTAGTATAATTCAAATATTTGGATGTTCTGTTCTTTTCGCATATACCAAAATCTTGTAACTACATGATAGCCTTAAGATTTAACTAATCTTTTACACTTAGTTATTTAGCCCATGCAGCACGGAATGGACAGAATTAACTAACAGTAAGGTGATCTGCAAATTGGCGCCTCTTTTTCCTCTTCTTAAAATCAATAGATGTTGTCCAACCTCCATGCATTAAGAGCTGGAGTAGGCATAAGGCCTGTAGTGGACAACAGATAAAGCATATCATTCCGTGCTCATTTTGCCCTAAATTAATTTGTGAAAATAGTATCCAGTTCTATTTGAGACATGAGTTGTTACCGAAACCCATTGGCAGCCTTCCTTATTCTCCAAAAATTCAAACAAGCTTTTATATAGGATGCGAGTGTGGCAATCAAGCCCTAATATAACATGAACGTCTACTAATACACTGCCCTCACAAATCAAGAACTAAATTTAATGTTGTCCACCCTCTATGCATTAAGAGCTAGAGAAGGCATAAGGCCTTTAGTGGTACAACAGACGAACTTCGTCAAATTAGTTTTACGATAGTCACACAAACTAAGCCTACCACCATACATTCGATCAAAGAATTTATAGAAAGGTCCGTGTTCCATTACATATAAGAAATGAATATACTAAAATCAATAAATGATATAAAAGTAGACAACAATAACAAAAATAAAATAAAATAAATAAAATTAAATAAATAAATAAATAAATAAATAAATAAATAAATAAATAAAAAATACAACAATAACACAACGACATAGGGGACAAAGGGATAATTAATAGATAATTAACACATGATATGTACATACAAAAAATACAAATAGACCCAGACATAGTCACTTATACACACATAGATTGAAAATACAAACATGCATACAAATACATATAAATATAAGAGCACACACATACACCTATATGCTAGGTACACACGTGCTTACAATACGTTCATGCTTTTTAACATATTAATTATAGCAGTCAGGCACATGTATGCATGCAAGTAAGAATGTTAAGGCGTACAAACACAAATAACAGCAAGAACAAAAACAGTAAAAACAATAACAATTATAAGTAAGTTACACATACACTTACTCACTATACACACGTACATAGATTACTCATAAATAGAATATTAGAATACATAGACACATACATACACGAATACAGATACATATAAACATACATACATGTACACATAACACATAACACATAACATATATACATATGCACACATGAACATTAGATAGACAAACAATATCTAACATCTAGCTACAATGCTAATAAATAGTGGACACAACTTATACAAATTTAATATATGTCGTGCTATTACGTAAATAGAAGAACATTAATACGACTCAAACGACAGTATAGTAAAACGATAGATATTATATTATCGCTGTGCTAATAGGAAATATCTAAATAAGTATTAAATTATCTGTTCGGGAGAACCCTGGCGTGGTGTTGGGCATTAGAAATGCAATGCGGTTTGCACCACGGCAATCCCCTGCGATGAAGAGGCTTGCCCTAGCCAAGGAGGAAATACCCTCTGATAAGGAAACCGCATAAGAGTCCAGGAAGGACCGCCTCTGACTCAATGGATTGAGGTCCGCCACTAATAATAATTCTAATGAGAATTCGTGTTTAATGTTGTCCTCGCCCCCAAACACAAGAATAGGCAATCGAAGTAAGACAGTGAACATACCAGAGTATACCAATAACACAGGAAGGAGATGTGGTAGAAAGAAATGCTCTTTATGCGATAAGATAAATTTTCAGAATAAGATAAAAAGTTCTACTACTAATTTTTATTTCAAAACTAACAAAACAGACACATCCAACTGTAACTCCAAAAACGTTGTGTATATGATAACATGTCTGACTTGGACAAGAAATAAATAAATAAATAAATAAATAAAAAATACAACAATAACACAACGATATAGGGGATAAAGGGATAATTAATAGATAATTAACACATGATATGTACATACAAAAAATACAAATAGACCCAAACATATTTATTTATTTATTTATTTATTTACGTAAATAGTCGATTCCAAAAAAAAAGATCACACAACATAAGTACAGTTTGGACTCAAACAACCGACATAAAAAATCTTGCTGCCTTTTGAAAAGTAATGTGCATCCCATTGTTTAAATGCCAGCGAGCTTGCGGGCAAAAGCTAGCTGACTTAGCCCTCAAAAAAGAATCTCTTTTCAAATAAGCGGCAGGATCAGGACAATAAGGAAAATGATTCGCCATAAACAAAAATTTTTTGTGCAAAAAAGACATAAACTATCAATAAAAAATACACAGAGGAGAAGAATACATAGAAGATAAAAAAAAAAGGTACAGAGGTGCTGAATGGTAATTTTGGCGTTTTGAAATAGCTGGTCGAAAATCAGTAATAGTGATCCAATAAAGCGTTTTTTACACCGTTCTGTAAAAAAAATGTTGTTAGAAGAATCCTTTAGATTTCAAGGTTTTTTGAACTTCTCTGTTAAACACAAATGTCGATGAAGCTTTAATCGCCGTTACTGGAAGCTTGTTCCATGTGTTGATTATGCGTATCGGAAAAGAGTCATGAAATTGCTGTGTTTGCACCTTTCCTATGATAAACACAACATAGTCACTTATACACATAGATTGAAAATACAAACATGCATACAAAGTACATAGGGGAGACCAAACAAACTCTAAGGTAACGTATAAACCAACACAGTAGAAGTATACGTAAACTAACATTGAATACATACATTACATGGTTGAGCACTTCAGATCCACTGGACATAGTACATCAGTGATATCCGTGGATATATTGGACCATGCTGGTAATGTAGAAGATAGCAAGAAGAAGTTGAGAGAAAAAGAGCTGCAGTGGATAAAATACATGATCACAGCATATCCGTTCGCTTTCAACGATCAGATAAAAGGTTATGGTAACATCTCAGATTTCATCAATCCTTTGGAAAAGAAGGAACACCCCTACTTTCAATGTCCCATACAAGTAAAGAGATACAGAGGAAAGAAGAGAAGAGCAAAGAGAAAAGCATTATGCCCTAACAGAACAGATGAAATACTACGCAACATAAGTGAATTGCAAACATATGAATTGTATAAACACTTCCGTACATTGAACAAACATGATATAGATAGACTAATTGATGTAACCTTTGATAACCAATTCAACAGTTACGATTACGATTTGAAACTTAAAGTCTATGCACTTGTCGCAAGGCCATTTTGGAATCGAAAACCCTACAAAACTGAGAACTATAAATATCTGTATATAACAGTTCCATATTTAGGAAGCATTATAGACAAACTGAAACTATTAGGTTGTCCGGAAATTAATGCCCGTTTTGAATTTCAACCGCAATAAGTCATACACTTCTCATTTCTAAATAGGGTGCAAAGTACCATTGGATAGAGCAAAGCAAGCTCTACAAGATGGCAGTCTTGCTTTAGCAACAGCTCTGATCCACCACGAGTTTCGAGCCAAAAAGTAAAAAGATTCAACTTTCCGAAAAATTGAGAAAAATCGTAGCTTAGTTCATAAAAATCCTACAAAAATTCTAACTTCCTCCCGTAAACATAATCCACATAGAGCATCTATATACGCCTTTGCCGCATTTTTTCTCTGTTAGAAACCAAGAAAACGGAAATTTTCGTGCATTTGCCAAAGTGATGCTGAGCCATCCCCACATAGGCAGTTGTACACCACAAGGCCGTAGAGGTACAGACTTAAATTTTCAGCTCTCCACAAGCTTTAGTTCTCGAGAATTTTGAATTTTAGCTTGGAACACCTAACTAGGAAAAGCTATATTCGGTTTTTCTCGAGAACAAAAGCTTATGGAAAGCTGAAAATTTGAGTCTGTACCTCTACGGCCTTGTGGTGTACAACTACCTATGTGGGGATGGCTCAGCATCACTTTGGCAAATGCACGAAAATTTCCGTTTTCTTGGTTTTTAACAGAGAAAAAAATGCGGCAAAGGCGTATATAGGTGTTTTATGTGGATAGTGTTTACGTGAGCAAGTAAGAATTTTTGTAGGAATTTTATGAACTGAGTTACGATTTTTTCCGAGTTTTCGGGCTGCTGAGTCTTTTTAGTTTTTGGCTCGAAACTCGAGGTGGGTGAGAGCTGTTGCTAAAGCAAGACTGCCATCTTGTAGAGCTTGCTTTGCTCTATCGAATGGTACTTTGCAACCTATCCAGAAATGAGAAGTGTGTGACTTATTGCGGTTGGAATTCAAAACGGGCATTAATTTCCGGACAACCTAATAAATAGTGTATGCAATGGTAGAGAGATAAAGGAAGCTGTAAGTACAGCCATACCGGAAAGGAAAGAAGAACTACAAGGGCTAAGAGTAGCAATTAGATATAAGCTGAAACAACCTGTAGGGATTTACTTGTGTAATTACAATAGATTCCTTAAGAATATTAATATCAGTAATGTTGATGATATATTACACAAGGAATGTGAGTGTAATAAGCGCATAGAATACATTGACAGGGATTTAGGACACATATGTACAGGAGATATAAACTTTATCAAAAATGAAGAACTTAGAAAGCTATTTAGTAAAGGGTATAAATGTAGAACGCATACTTTCATATGCAAACAAGACATACTTACATTGTTAGAGGAGCTAGCTAGCAATATGGCACACATATTTCGAAGTGTGTTTAAGGCAGATAATAGTGTAGAAATAATTTTGAAAAGACGTTTCATTGAACATATTATTAGTAAGACGACACCTAAACTATATAGCATTATGGATCAGAGAGAAATGATAGAAGACCAATATAAACAAGAAGATTTAAATGAATTGCATA